AGAGAGCAAAGTTCAGAGTCTTGAGGATCATGTTTGATGTACCATTTCAAGACTGCACTAATTGTAAAGAAATTTGGTACAGGCCTCCTGGCTTGCACAACTCTGGGGGGTCACCATTCTTGTGGCATTCCAACCGAATTACGTAACAGAGCAGCTAGCTTTCCTCAACCCCCTGAAATAAGATTTCCTGTCTCCAGCATATTGGGCTTATCCTGTCTTGAGGTCACTCGAGCCTTTCTATCTGTGTACAAACAGGAAGTGATCTATCAAGTCAGTGTTTCCTTTTCAAAGGAGGAATTAGGAAGTTCTATTTGGAAAGTGTGGGCGGATAGTGGCTAACCTATTTGAACAACGCATTACCAAATGAGAAAATTAAGTTTTCACTAAGATACTTTAGTCCACTTTTACCTGTGAGAACGGACTACATCCTTCCCTAACTGATGTTCCCTGGAAGAGTTTCATAAAATAATTCTATAGATTTCACGTGTGTCTGAAATCTAATGATGTTTATACCCTGCAATGAACCTCTCATTTTGCAATTGAATCTATGTCAAAAGAGCAAGGTTTTGGAAATTCTACTTAGAAACCATTGGCTGCTAAAGCACATTTCACAAACACGTAGTCCAATTTTTAGTGTGTCTATGTAATTAAATCTCTTTAATGTTTATACATATTTGACAAGGAAAAAAAATGTGCCCTCTTTACCCCACACCTTCCACAAAATCCTGTAACACTATTACACCATAAAACTTAACAGCGGGCACACTCATGGTATTATTAACTAATTATGTGTAACTACATCTCTAGAAAGGAAGGTAAACAGCGGGACTGTCACTGACTGTTGGTGTCCAATATAAGCTTTGCTAGAGCAGAACACACTTTACTGTTGGATTGGATCTGTGGGATCTGTGGGCCACAAGGGCCAGGCCTGAGTGCTCCCCTTTTGCGCCCACTTCATGATTCAGCTTTCTCCTTTCATTCACACTGTAAAGGATCACAATGTCACGGTCTGAGGAGCAGTAAAATCCCCCGAGGAATAGCAGGAATTGGGTCGGCAACTCCCTACAGGCAAGACTTCTGCTGTGTCCTCCTTATGTAATTTCCCTTCCAAGTCTACCCTTCCCCCTCCGAAAATACTTCAGTCAGTTACGGACATAGCAGACAGCTATGTTTGTGATTTACAGGAATTTTAGACTATAGAGTCTGTGAACATGGACATAGCCCATCCCGAACTATTGCCTCTAGAGAATATGGGTGCAGACCTCTATCTTCCCGCCTACCCTATGTGCAGCACTTACTGATCCACTGTGAAAACCCACTAGCTATAGTGACTAAAAGAACACTAGTCAGTGCTGAATGATAGACTGGCTGGATGATAGTGCTGCCCTTTCCAAGAAGAGTTTGAAGTGTTTTGTAAAAGTAGGCAGGACTTGAGCTGGTGTGGGATTGGCTAAGACACTTCAACCTCAGATAATGTGTGAGAGTCAGTAAAAAGAGGTGAGAATACATTTGCAGTTGAGAAAGAATAAAGATTGGCTTTTAACTGTAACAGCATGAACTAGAGTATGTGCAAAGAGATGAAGTTGGTACTAAGGAATAAAAGATAACCCTGAGGAGATAATGATGCATTTCAGGCGAAAAGAAGCTGTTTATAAGATGGAGAGAGAGTGCATGCTCAGTACATATCAGAGGCCCAAAGAGGAGCAAGACAAAAACAACTGAGTGTCAGAACGTGGGGCTGATGTGATAATAATATTCATCTCTATACTTGATAGAAAGCTAGCCGTGAGGGCGCTGACATGGACAGAGGTCCATTTTCAGCTGTATTTTGTCCTGAGAAGCCATGGGCTCTGAATGAAGGAGTATTGCCCCACTTTTAGCATGTTTCAAAACTGGGATACAGTAGTCACCCATAGCTAGGCATCATTCCTAATTTTTTCTGTCCCACTACTGCCTTTCATTTAGACACTAAGGAAGAGCTGGATAACACAAACTTGGAAGTGTAGGAGGAAGGGTTATTTCATGCATCCTTAGATTGGCCCTACTCAGAGCATGTCTATCATCACAATTTGATTTCTGATTCAAAAGTTGTGAATCCAAAATGAAAGGAGCTGCAACCTTCTAAACCAAACCCAAGAACCTGGAACACCTGAATATATTGCACGAAACCCATAAACTGTACTATATTTGAATTAATGCTTTGTATAAGAAATGAAATCCAATCAGATCGTTAACACTTTAATGATACTATGAAATATCAAAACTGAAAAACTTCATCGTAGTTCAGTGACATTTTTATAATACAGAATAATACTTAACTTCTATTATTTAACCTTTAGGGCTACAAGAATGCTAGAGTTAGCAAAAATTTGGAGGCTCATCAAAGTAGAAAAAGAGATTCAACTTTTCTGGTTTCAAAGTAAAGTTCAGTCTGTATTCTTTGAAAAATCTAGGGACAATACTTGGCTAAAATTAACAGATCATGTTCCTAAATTTCTGAGATTTTATGTTTTGAGGTAATGGTGATTATGGTGTCACATTTCCCAGAATATATTTGCCTCAACAAAGTAGATTTAAATCTACTTTTAAAAAATGAAATCAGCCTATCCAGTCTAAAAATCAAATAGTGAAAATTTGGACTAAACTAACTGTGTCTGAAAGGCAACTAGAACACTTTTACTACCATAGAGGAAGTCTATGTGATATTTGTTGTGAGAGTAGAATGAATCCTATTAAGAGGGAACATCAAGAGATGGGTATTGGTGCTCATGCCTCAAATCCTAGCTTCTCAGGAGGCTGAGAGCCGAGGATCACAGTTTAAAGCCAGCCTGGGCAGACAAATCTGAGAGAGTCTTAACCTGTAAAAAGCCAGAAGTGGAGGTGTGGCTCAGATGGTCAAGTGCCAGTCTTGAGTGAAAAAGCTAAACAAGAGTGTGAGACCCTGAAGTCAAATCCCCACAGCAGGGAACAAAGGGACAAGGGGAGAGTCTAGCCAAAAGTTTCGTCAAAGAATCTTTGTGCTACTTTCCAAAAGTATCAGTATTACAGCCCAAAAATTGCTCCCATGTGCTCATGTTATCAATATGATCAGTCATTAAATTCATTTCATGCTCAAAAAGAAAGATAACTTTATTTAGTGTGTCAAACCTTTGATAGCTAAATTTATTTGAGAAACCTCAAGAGTCGCTAGAAGTGATAACATGATAGTAACAGTAGGAGAACAATTACTGAGTATAGCGATTATCTTCCTTGAAGCCTTAATCTGGTGTTGTGTGTGTGTGTGTGAGTGTACACATGAAAGTGCTCACATGTGCTAATATTGAAGCTTGAACTCGGGGTCTTTCACTTGACATTTTCATTCAAGGCACTCTACCACTTGAGCCACACCTCCAGTTTTTGAGGCATTAGTTTGAGTTCTCCATGCAAGTCAATGCATCTGTCATTTTGCCTTCATTATTCAGACAGCCCTTTAGCAAATAACCTCTGTGTACCAATTGAGAGCTTAGAACAGAGCCTCGTCTCTACGAGATATGTTAGACTAAGCAGTGTCATTCTTTGCGATATTACAACTTTCATAGATGTGCTAAAATAATAAAGCGCAGGCATGTTGTGTTCTTCTCCCACAGCTGTGCTTTTTTTGAGTTTCTGTTTGTGAAGACAGATTTCAGATTGTCATGTGGTAGAGGAAATAACACGTACAGAGTATTTCCCAAGCCTAGTTGCCAAGAATGAGCTAATTGTAACTCTGCTTTGCATACAATGAGTCTCAACATTTTCAAGTATGGACTGTTGTATACAGATATACCCTTGCAGGAGAAAAGAGTGCCTTCATTTGTACAATGTTGCTCTTTCTCTTTACCGAGAGTAAAATTTAAAATCATGTCATAAAATTAACACAACCTCAAAATTATCTTTGTATATTTTCTGCTATCATTATAAATCTGAAACTGATGGCTATATTTAAAAGAAATTTTGCACGAAATATGATGTAAGCTTGGAAATTGTCTTTAAAAGTCATTAGTAAATGTCCTCTAAAATAAGATTAGCTATTTTTAAAAAAAAAAAAAAAAAAGTAGGACAGACTTACCACGTTTTTTTTCAAGACATAAAGGTCAGAATTACAAATATATTTCACTTGTCAATCCCATTCTGTTTCCAACTAATTGATAATGGCAGTGAACTCGTTGTTTGGAAATGCTCTGAGGCTAAGTCTAACTTAGCAGACAAGATTGTTGTCATTAGTTAATAATGGTTTCTAAGGATGGAAGTCCTACATTTGCTATCTTTGGGAAATAATAAGAGTTGACATTTAAAAAATACTTTTAGCTAGGCACTGGTGTCTCATGCGTGTAATCCTCACTAAGCATTTGGCTGAGATCTGAGGATCAGTGTTCAAAGCCTGCCCGGTCAGGAAAGTCCATGAAACTCTCTTCTCCAGTTAACCACCAGAAAACCAGAAGTGGCGCTGTGGCTCCCAGAGGTAGAGTGCTTACCTTGAATGAAATAGTTCAGGGACAGCACTTAGGCCCTGAAGTCAAGCCCCATGACTGACCAAAAAAAAAAAAAAAAAAAAAATAGTTTTAGAGCCGGCATGGCAGCATGTAACTGAAATTCTGGCTACTTACCAGCGTGGAGATGGGAAGTATCTTAGTTCAAGGCTAGCCTAGGCAAAATGTTCCCGAGGCCCCATCTCAACCAACGACAAACTGGGGTGTGATGATGCACATTTATACTCCAAGCTATACAGAAGGCAGACATGGGAAGATCATGGTCAGAGGCTAGCCCTGGGCAAATTTGAGACCCTATCTGAAAACGAAAACTTGAAGGGTTGGGGTATGGCTTAAGTGGTCGAATGCTTATCTAGAAAATGGGAGGCCTTGACTTCAAACCTCAGTACTGCCAAATATCTATGTTTAGACATTGCTTGAAACACAGTAGTCTCCATTAAAAATAACACTTACCTGAAGACAAAGACTAAATTCACTTCATTAATTCTCTAGGTTAATGCAGCACGTCAAGAAGCCAAATTGACTGAAGAGTGCGATCTTCTCATTGAGATCATTCAGCAAAGACGGCAAATTATTGGAACCAAGATCAAAGAAGGGAAGGTATGATTTCTAGGACAGATTTCCCATTCTCCACCTGGAGGAAACATAGTTCCATGTACTTCAGTGACTTTGGAAGCATTCCCCATTCTCTCTTTCTATACTTGCCCCAGTTTCCTCTCAAGTCTTTATCTTAGTCCGTTTTGGTTAATATCACACAACATCTGATATTTCACAATACATAAAGAAAAAGAGCTTCATTTGTCTTCATGGTTCTGGTAGCATGGCACCCATATCTGATGAGGGCCCCTCGTGATGTTACAATATGACTGAGAAGCAGAAGGAGACATGGGCATGTGCAAAAGAAGCCAAGGACTTGGGTAGACTTATTTACAACCTGTTTATGGGTAACTAACCTAATCCCACCATATTGAATCTACTTTTTGGAGTGGAGTGCCCATTACTCAAAATGCCTCTCAAAAGCCTCACCCACTCTTAACACTATTACACTTGGGACTAAGTCTCAACATGAGCTTTAATGGGGGCAAACCATATTTAACCCACAGCATTTTTTTTTTGCTGGTCCTGGGGCTTGAACTCAAGGCCTGGGTGCTATCCCTAAACTTTTGTGCTCAAAGCTAGCGCTCTACCACTTGAACCATAGCTCTACTTCTGGCTTTTTTCCAGTTAATTGGAGACAAGAGTCTGGTGGAGCTTTGTGATCTGTGTTGGATATGAGCTGTGATTAACAAACTCAGCTTCTTGAGTAGCTAGGATTACAAGCATGAGCCACCAGTGCCTGGCTTTCATTTCTACATTTTTAATGTTTTTGTATTGCCAGTCCTGGGGCTTGAACTTAGAGCCCAGGTGCTATCTCTGAGCTTTTCTGGTCAGTGCTAGAGCTCTACCACTTGAGCCATAGCTTCACTTCTGACCTTTTCTGGTTGATTAGAGGTACAGAATTTCAGACTTTCCTACCCAGGCTGGCTTTGAACTATGATCCTCAGATCTCAGCCTCCTCAGTAGCTAGGATTACAGGCATGAGCCACTGGTGCCTGACTAAATTTTTACATTTAATTCTAAACTGACAAATTACAGTTGTATATATTGTATGGTCCAAGGTGATTTATGTCTCCAATATGGAATAATTAAATCAAGTTGACTAATATATCCCTCATCCCTCACTTCACTCATGGGGGGGGGGGGTTGAAATTTAATCTCTTAGCAAGTTCTGAATATACAGTTCATTGTTTTATAATGTATACCAAGCTGTACACTATACATCTCAATTTAAAAAAAAATAGTAAAAGCTGGGTGCTGGTGGCTCACAACTATAATCCTAGCTACTCAGGAGGCTGAGATCTGAGGATAATGGTTCAAAGCCAGCCTGGGCAGAAAAGTCTGTGAGACTCTTATCTCCATTAGCCACCAGAAAACTGGATATGGCACAGTGGCTCAAGTGGTAGAGTGCTCGCCTTGAGCTGAAGAGCAAAGGGACAGTGCCCAGGCCCAGAGTTCAAGCCCCATGACTGACCAAAAAAAAAATAGTAAAGAAAAGGACTTTTTTCCTATTTGTGGCTTTGTAGTACTATATTCGTATTAGTGCCTTATTGCTGCTGCAACAGATTATTATAAACTTGGTTCCTTAAAATAACCCAGATGTATTATCTGTTCCCCAACTCCTCTGACACTAATTTTTCTTCTTCTGGTTTTACTAGAATCACCCACTTACTCCAATATCACTTCCTTGTCTCCAGAAAACACCATCTGCAAGGTCCCTTTTATGTGGAGACAATCTCGTCTCCAGAAAACACCATCTGCAAGGTCCCTTTTATGTGGAGACAATGTATTCAAAGATTCCTGAGGTTACAGTGTAGACATCTTTCAGTATCCCTTATGCAACTTGCATTGACACTCCACCACAAGTTCCCAGCCCAAACAACTTCTTTTCGCCTTCCTCGTTTGTACTCCCCAGCATGAGTTTCTCAGACTACATCAGAATCATGGAGAGTGACCCAGTGTCAGTCACAGTGGTACTTGGAGTTCATGCTTGGATGCATACACAATAAGATGGCAAAGTAAATAGGAGACAGCTGGACTGAAACAAAATCATTATCTCCATGGGGACAGAAAGAAGACAAAATTGCAAAGCTGTGACGGTGTCTAGAGACACCAGCTAGTGCCTTTTGGTCTAGAACAGACCAAAGTAGCTCTAGCCTTAATAGTTGTGGTTAAATCTTCATGAAGCTTTTGGGGAAAAGATGTAGAAGTGCTCCAGATAGGCTAGGAATGGAAATCGGGTTCATTGCTTAGCGCCATGGACTTTACAAGATTTGTTAGTTCATTAAATCAAGATCTTTGCCCTTGTCTGCCCTGTGGGGTATTTTTCTAGTGGACTTTACACTCAGGATTCTGGAACAAATCTGTTGTTGGATTGAGGCTTATATGACAGTCCTTTCTGATATTCTGCGAGAGCCCCAGAAACAGAGAACTAAGACAGGATTCATGAGTACTGATCTAGTCAAAACTCTTGTGGTGTGGAAACATTAGATAAGGCAGGCTGCACAGTGCAGAGTCAGCCATCATGCTCCTCCTTGGAACTGAAACACTAAGCTCAATTCCAAAGCAATGAGTCTTAAACGTCTACAAGTACAGCCAATAAAGTCAGCAGGCAACATTAGAGATTCGTTTTGTGGGAGAATATGAAAGTGACTTTTAAAGAAATTGTCTTAAGATGTTCAAAGAAGTAAGTGAAGAAAGAACTTTGATTTTAAAAGAGGGGAACAACAGTGAGGCCGTGAAAGAAGGAATGAAATGTAAGAAAATACATCCAAACACACAAATTAGTCGTTTTGATGATCACTATGTACATATGTAAATTAAAAGGAACCACAAAAGAAATTTGGAAACTTGAGTTTGGCCCTCCACCTGGAGAACTCCAAAAATACAGAAAGGCACAGCAGAATCTGAATGACAATAAAGCAGGACAGATGTCCATTGAGTTTGAACTCAAAGATTAGGTTACATTGGTTTTTTACACTCTGGTCCTGACCGAAGTAATGATTCACCACTTGCAGGTTAAAATATTTATTGCTTGTTAAAATGCAAATTCCTGCTGTTCTGCCAATTACAGCTTCTTTACTAGAATGTTGGAGGGTGTGCCCAGACATGCACAGTTTTTCTTTAAAAAGATCTCCTGCTGATTTACTCTTTGAGATTGTTTTATTAGCATACATTAGTTATACAAGGGAGGGGTTCATTGTGACATTCTGATACATGCATGTGATGGACTACAGTCCCTCACCCCCCTGTCTTAGTCTCCCTTACTCCCCTCCCCCCTGCTGATTGTGCACATAATTTTGGTAAAACTCCAGTGGAGCCTATCAGATGGAATTGTACACAGACTTATAGTTGAAATCATGCCCCAGATTGTTCTCTCTAGAACAGTTTGATATTTTGTCCCATTTCAATTTATGCATCACTTACTGCTTTTCTTCCCTTTCCCTTTTTCTTTTTATCACTTTGAACTTGAGTATTGTAGAAGACAAAATTGGAGTCATTGTCACATTTGGAATTTGTGTAGTCTCTACTAGACATATCCATCCCCATGAGAAATGCTTGACCTGAAAATTATTTTAGAGATACTGGAGTTTAAATTTGGAGCCTCAGGCTTCCTAGGCTGGCACTCTGCCATCTGAGCCATGCTTCCAGCCTGGCTTTTTGCTGATTATTTTGAAGATGGAATCTTGTAGATTTTTCCACTTGGGCTGCTTTCAAATCTCCATTCTCCAGATCTCTGGCTCTTGCATAGCTAGGATTATACATGTGAACCACTGGTGACCAGAGGCCTGAAAGTTTTCTAAAGGAATAATCTAACGTTAGTTTTTGTTAGTTGTATTAAGCGTCTTCACATTTTCCATGTCATTTAAATTACTCTTTAAGTTGTGCTTAAGCATTCCATTCACATGTACTGGGGACTTCCAAGTTCTTTTTCCTTCTGGAATTTTCCCTTCCTCTGACAGTTTCTAATGGATGTATTCTAATATCCTGAATTGGACTGGATGGCTTCCTTGGCCTCGCCTCTGGATATAATGATGCCAAAAGTTCAGTTCCATTTTGGTGTAAAGTAAGTGGTATTTCACTCAAGCAAGGTCCACAGTTAACCTCCAGGGGAACAGGCACCACACTTAGACCGAGCAAAGCCTTTTACCACGCTTGAGAACAGATACTGTTTGCCCCAAATTTTTAACATTTCTCTTTCTAGCCCTTCATTCGAGATTTTTCTCACCTGCCTGTAATCTTGTGTGTAGCTCGTTAATTGCACATTAACTTCCTTTGTTTGCTGTACATACTTGGAATGGGACGTTCTTTAGAAGCCTCCGGTTCTGACATCTCCTTCCTTCCTTTGCTTCTATTAGCGCTGTTCAGGGATGATAATGATGACTTGGCGAAAGCAGGAATTTCTTGGACTTAGCAGGAATTCTGGAGGGATCCTGAGCCAGCCAGCCTTGTCTGTAAGACAGATTAACCGGCCTCCTCCCTACCCTTTCACCCAAGGCTATTTTCCATTCCGGAATTATCAGAAAGCCAGCCAAAACCATCCCCGGAGTGTGTAGATCGGGGCAGTAGGTGCAGGGCGATTCCAATTAGCAGTCTAATTTTAACTTGGCTCCTGGCCGGAAGGCTTCAGCTCATAGCACATTTCAAACACCAGAGCGACGATCAAGTCGGTTGGTTACCTTGGACTTCATCTTGGCCTGCCTGAGAGGTTATGGTCCATTACACTTGAGGGTCATTTTCAAGCAAGACAGAGTCAGGAATTGGAATGGAGATTGCGAAGCAAGTATGTGTTTTATCCCAACTGGGAACTGCTTATCAAAATAGTTCTTAGTTATCAAGTAAGCACAAAGTGCCTGGAAATGACGTTCCTAGCGAGGGGAAATGACCCAGCTGTGCTTTTTTTGGCTTTCTCTCCTCTGCTCAACAGGAAAAATATTAATCAATGGGGAAAAAAGGCTCCCTTTCTGTTAATTTAACACATGAGTTTTAGTGTGGGAAGTAGCAATACCTAATGCTTTTACATTGCAGTTTTACTACAGTGGATTATACAGAACTTTTTAGAAAACGGTTTTGACTTAAGCTTCAAATTTGCACCTCTAGAATTGCTTTCTTTTCTGGATAGTGCAGCTGAAAGTCCGAGATCAAGAAAGTTCCAGGGTTCCCTATGGTCCTAGGATACTGATGTCAGAGAGTGGAGGAAAGAGGTGTGGTGACCCTTGTGTACACACCACCCGGCGACACCTTTTCCCCTCCATCAACAGGGTAGCAATTAGCAATCCAATGTTTCCTCATAAAACAAATTAGCAACTCTCCTCCAAGGAGATAAAGCATGTCTAAGGATTTAGTCCCGCAATGGGGCTTTGCAAGTTTCCACCTCTCGTGGTATTTACTTTCTGAACTGGGATGGAAAGGCAGCATATGTACAACAAAATGCACGCACCTCAGAAGGGCCCGTCCAGCCTGCTGGCTCTTTTCCCCAAGATTGTGCTGGCCATGTATTCGGTGCTTCTCTGTGCCAACCACGTGTCTCTGTGTCTCTTCTTGCTCAAGGTGATGAGGCTTCGCAAACTGGCTCAGCAGATTGCAAACTGCAAGCAGTGCATTGAGCGCTCAGCATCGCTCATCTCCCAAGCAGAACACTCTCTGAAGGAGAACGACCATGCCCGCTTCCTGCAGACTGCCAAGAATATCACTGAGAGGTTAGTGCAGGTGCCACCTTGGGGGGGGGTTAGTTCCGATCTAGGCACTGGGTCACGTGTACCTGGGGTGTCACTAGTTGGCCTTGCTCTCACCATGCTTTGGTTTTCATTGTCAAGGCCTGAGAACCAGAGAATGGAAGCTGAACTGTGGTCCAAATTCAAGATGCTTCCCTTTGACATGTGCAAAGCCCTTTCAGTAACAGCCCTGAGTTCAATGCCTTTGGAAATCCAGCCCACTGGTTCGAAAGAATCAAAAAAAAAAATCAACCTGTATGTGATGGCATAGACTGTATGGTGTCCTTCACACCTGATCTTATCACACACTTGTAACAGGGACTCCAAGTGGAAGCAAACAGACAAAAGGGAATCTTATCTTTCATAGTAGGCTTCATCTGTCTGAAAACAACAGCCCGTATGGGTGCTGTTCTCTGTGAGGCCCGCTGATACAGATTAAGAAGCCTGGCTTCACCTGAAATGATCAAGGTTGACTCATGTTGGGAGAGAAAGGGCCAAACCATCAACCTCATACTGCCTTCTTTTTAAAATATCCTCTAAGGGTTGGCAAATGCAGTCATATTCAATGTACATATGTGAAAAATGGAACTAGCAAGGCTGCAGGGATAGGTCGGCTTGGGAGAGAAGAAGAGAATGACGAAAGGGGTGATATCGATCAAGAAGCAGCACACTCAAACTGACATGTTGACTTGAAACCCCTTAGCACAAGTATGGAAGATAATCAAAAATACCCTCTATTCCAGTGGTGGGAAGATTTTAAAAAAGTTATCTGATTGGTCAGCCCAGTGGTAAGACTGGCAAGGGTAAATATTCTCCCATTCTATTTGCCTCATTGGCGTACAAATTACTTGGCTCTACAGGTGCAAATACCTGTAAGATCACTAGTGGATCCAAAGAGAAGCACTAGTTAAGCTGGGTGTAGGCAACTCCACATGAATGACAGCTCTAAGCAATGTCCTTAGCCTTGACTTTTCATTCATTTGAACTTTCACAGTCACACATCCTTTAGGCAAAGCAATAATAGAATTCTGCCGTTAAAAGACCTCATTCATGCTAGCAAACTGTCTTTTTATCAGTCATGGGGCTTGAACTCAGAGCCTGGGCACTGTCCCTGAATTCTTTTGCTCAAGGCTAGCTCTGTACCACTTTGAGCCACAGCTCCACTTCCAGTTTTCTGCTGATTGATTTGAGTCTCACAGACTTCCCAGCCTTGGCTGGCTTTGAACTGCAATCCTCCAGATTTCAGCCTCCTGAGTAGCTAGGATTACAGGTGTGAGGCACCAGTGCCTAGCTCTTGGAAACTCTCTTGCAAAGGATCAGAGAGTAAATTTGTTTGGCTTAGTGGGCTAGAAGGTCTTGATCATAACTACTCGACCCTGCCTGCAGAGCCCCACAACAACCATAGATGAATCTGGGAACAAATGGGTGTGGCTGTGTGCCAGGAAAGCCATTTCCAGGCTTCCAGGTGTACTTTGCCAACCTACAGTCTAAGGCTGCATCATCTTATCACTTGAGTTCCATCAGAGAGACATACAGAAAACTTAAATTTATTGAATGCTTACTTGGGTTGAACACTGTGCTAATTCTCAAACTATCATTTAGAGATGAGCATTGACGTTTCCATCCATGTGTCTTTAAGAATGTAGTATGCAGTATTTTCATAACTCGGGTGTAAGTTCTAGCCAACCAACTTCATTGTGTCATTTTCCTATAGTTGGGAAATATTCCCTATGCAGCTGATTCAATACTTATCTCTCCTAAGGTCACAAGTAACAGCTGGCCTGCATCACTTTTATATCTTTAAAATGCTTTCCTCCCTGTTCTAAGAGACGCCAGTTTCTTTCCTTGTGACTCCTAGTTTCCAAGGGCTTAATTGTTTGCTCCGCTCTCATCTGGATCATGTCCAGTTGCTCCATATCCATTCCAGTGTTAAACGCATATACCAGTAATTTTCACTAGACCCAAATGGCATTTACAACTAAGGCCAAGGTTCCCAACTGGGATCCGAGAGTCCACTTCTCTACCCATGACCTGGACAGTCCAGATGAGGTGGCTCCTAGGACCTTGAATTCCTGTGTAGACCCCATAAATTCAACCGCAGGGCAAATGAATAAATTCTCATCTAGCAGATGGGAAAGAAAGTGGCCCTCTCACAAATTGCGAAATTGCACACACGTGATTGCCCGAAGATGCGGCGGCTCCTATCTGGTCCAATTATTGTAGCAAGCCAGTCTCATTACAAATGAAAATGTGCCTTTAATTTCTTTCCAGAAAAGAATATACTTCTGTCATATGAATATATAGTGCCTATAAAAATGGCTTAAGTCCTTGTCCCTTTGTGTGTGAGATTTCTTCTCTACCTATCCCTTATTTTATTATCTTCAAGTACCTGTACAAAGTGGTTTCCATTCAACATGTCAGTTTGTGAGTACACTGCCTACTCTTCTAACTTACCAGTCTTTTTGGGTAATTCCTAAACCTTTGTCCTTCCATTAGTGGCCCTTTAGTTAAAGAGCACTGGGCTGGGAAGAGGAGCAAGAGATTTGAGTTCAAATCTCAAACTACCACTTTTCAAATGTGGTTCTCTGAGTGATTTTCCACTTGGAAAATGGGCCATAATAGTTAGCTCTATTGTAATAACATTGCCTCAGACTCCTCAGAGCAGGTCATAACATGATAAGTACTGTGCATCCTGGCTGTTGGATGTTTTCATGCTTCAATGTGTGATCTACCCCTCCTTGTAGGTTTATTTCAGTGCCTTTCTCTGCTTGCTTCTGTTCTTCAACCCATCATTTAACGTGCTTCTCTAGGTCATGCCTTCCTAATTCTGTCTCCTATTGTGTCTTTCTTGGGTTTTGGCTCCTGTATATTTTCAAATAACCTTTACTCTTCTATTCAAATATGAATGCCAGAATAGACTTTCCATTTTTCAGGGATTCCTGGTGAGACTTAGATAAAATTGTTGTATATCAGTTGAAATGAATATGTTCTCCTATAAGCTGAATCAAAACTGAAAAAAAATCCAATCAGAAACATTAAAAAAAAACAGGAAGAGAGAGAGAGAGAGAGAGCTTCAGTCTTTATATTGTAGGACACACATATGCTGTGGAATCAACCATTATTGGCTTAGGACTTATTTCTTGTAATTATGGACAATTAACACTTGTCAGGTTCCAAGAAGGTGGGAATCCTAGTCATCTTACTTTCATTACAAAGCAATGAGTGAGTGAATAAACACATGTATAAGCAAGACACTTGTTTCTATCTAATGTAACCATAAGGCTATAAGATGTTAGAAAATATTATAACAGTTCTTGTCACATGGTTAATATGCAACAAATACTATTTTGCTCCTTTTCTACTTACTAGGTAAATGCAAATGTAGCACACTGGATTCTCAAGTACAATAACACATAGGCCTTTATTTTGATTGTGTAGGCAACTTTATAACATGTTAAATGAACAAAAGTATTTGCTAAATCCAGGCATAAGAAAGTGATGTGCTACTTGGAAAGAATCTGAAATTACCTGGGCACCAGTGCCACACACCGATAATCCTAACTACTAAGGATGCTGAGATCTGAGCATCTTAGTTTGAAGCCAGCCCAGGCAGGAAAGTCGGTGAGACTCTTATCTCCACTAACCTACCAAAAAAAAAAGTGGAGCTGTGGCTTAAGTGGTAGAGTGCTAGCCTTGAGCACCAAACCTCAGGGACAGTGCCCAAGACCCAGGAGCTGCACCAAAAAATTTAAAAAACTCAAAATGGAGCTATGGTTCAAATGGTAGAGCCAAAAACTCATGGACAGGGCCCAGGTCCTAAGTTCAAGCCCCAGGACTTGCACAGAAGAAAAGAAGTAGGAAGTCAGTCTTTTTCCATTTTTAGAATCTCATTTAATAGTAACTATCAGTATGAGATGAAGTTTTTGTAGATTAAGTACAATCAGGACAATCTTGCTAGGTCTAAAGCTCCCCTAGCCTCTGCCAGCCAGCTCTCTGTCTTTGTATTCATAGACATTCTGATTTTAGAAAATCAGTAATAAATTTAAAGTTAAATCATTTCAACATTCTTTGCACAAAAAATTCCCAGTGCTAGCCGGGTACCAGTAGCTTATGCCTATAATCCTAACGTCGAGGCCAGCCCAGGCGGAAAAGTCCCAGTGAGACTCTTATTTCCAATTAACCACTCAAAAACTGGAAGTGGCACTGTGGCTCAAGTGGTAGATCACTAGGCTTGAGCACAAAGAGACTCAAGGGCTGCACCTAGGCCCTGATTTCAAGCCCCACAACTCCCTCCCCCGCCACACACACAAATCCCAGTGCCTTAATGCTTTTGCAGTTTAACAAAACATCATACTCAATAGTACAAGTGTGGCATCCTTTGTTATACTCAGAAGTGGTATTCTTTAGGTGGCAACTTTCTTAGTTTTAAGAGATTCACGTGCAATTTTGAATCACTCAAAGTATTCTGCTATAAATAGCTGAAATTTCCAAGTCAACTTGGAGCACCAAGGGGACTGGCACATACCTAGCTTTACAGTCTATATGTGAGAACTTTAACCAGAAAACCCACATGAGGAGGAGAAACAGTTCATCCACTGAGGGATGAGCTGTGGCAAAGCTCATGAATATTTTCCATGGCATCTGCTTGGAATATGGTACCAAAAAAAAAAAGAACCAAAAAACACAAAAGAATACAAGGAGACTGAAAACAAGCCAGACAAAACTCCTTTTTAAGATTTATTTTAGAGAGAGGCTAGTAATTGATTAAACTAATCCAATATCTGGAAACATTCTTTTTTAATCTTTGCTTTGCCTTTCATGGAGTTTGAAATTTGGGAGACTCCCCTTTGAAGTAGAGTAGTGGTGAGTCTGAAAGGAACAAACCATTTCCCAGACAGATGTGTGAAGAAATGCCTGGAGCTATGTGCTTCTCGCTGGGGTTGGATGTGATAGGGCTAGGCTCTTAAATGGGCAGCAACAGGAAATATTCTTTCGCCTCTATAGGCATTTTTTCCCTCTAGTCAAAAGGAGGCTGGTAGAGGGGACCCTGTTGTTTTTCCCATACCTTTGCTATAAGCTTGCATTCATTTGCTTGGCATTACTAGATTGTGCCACCGATTTTCTTCTGAAGGCCTTATGTGTAACAAGAACACTTTTTAAAAAGTGATATTTCTTTTCCTTTTATCCATTCCTATGCAGCGGCGTTGGAAAGCACCTGGGCATCTCTAAGAAGTTGTTTTGTTGTTCTCCTTTCAGGGTCTCCATGGCAACTGCGTCCTCTCAGGTCCTCATTCCTGAAATCAACCTCAATGACACATTTGACACCTTTGCCTTAGATTTTTCCCGAGAGAAGAAATTGCTAGAATGTCTGGATTACCTTACAGGTATTGTCTTTTATGTTATCTTTAGCGTTGTGTTGACTCAGTGTTATATTTTGCCTCCAGATCAGTTTTATTCCCTAAAATCCAAAAGTATGTTCTTTTGATTTACCATACTATATAATATTCCCATCAACAACTTCTGTGTGGGTTTTTGTTTTTTTGTGTGTGGGTTTTTAAAACTGAACTAACATATTGTGAACAAGAGAATATAAAGAATCTTAATCATTAGAAACAAAGTTGCTGCCAGGTGCCACTGGTTTAGGCCTGTAAATCTAACTGCTAAGGAGTCTGAGATCTGAGGATCACAGTTCAAAGCCAGCCTGGGCAGGAAAGTCCGTGAGACTCTTATCTCCAATAAACTATCCTCTAAAAAGCCAGAAGTGGAGCTGTTGCTCAAGTGGTAGAGAGCAAACCTTGAGTAAAAGAAGCTCAGGGACAGCTCACAGGCCTAGAGTTTTTTGCCCCAGGACCAGCAAAAAAAAGAAAAAGAAAAAAAAAAGGAAGAGAAAAAGAAAAAGAAAGACAAGTTTTCACCAAAAATTATTATCTTTTGTATTCTTCCATTCTAGTGTGCTGTTCCTATTAAGGAGCAAATGAAACAATTGGAAAAACATTGATAGTAAGGAATCAAACTTGGTATCAAATATTTATGATTATAGTGTCATTCTTCAATTTTTGGAGGAATGGTATTTGAACTCAGGGCTTCATGTATACTTGGCCGCTTGAGCCATCTCCTACCCATGTGCATCTGTCCTTTAGCTTTTAATTCTGAGATTTATTTAAACTAGTACCACCCAATGCAATATCCTACAATGATAGAAATTTTATATATCTACAATATCTGACATATTAACCACTTGGACTGTAAATTTAATTGAAATTTAAAGAGTCCTATGGAGCTCATAGGTACTACGTTTTTCATCATTGCATTCTGTTAAAATTTCTCTTTTCCCTAATATTATTTGGAATGAATTTGGTTGTAAGCAAAAGAAATGTAACTGGCCGCAACCAATGCCATCAAGGAATATTTGCATCACGGAAACAAAACAGTGGCATGCTGTCAAGAGGCGAACAGTGGCTCAATGCTCACTTCCTACCATAGGCTCTTTTTCTTTTTCTGGCCAGCCATCCTCATTGAGTTATCTTTATATTACCATGATTGTACCATGACTACTCAACCTCCCAAGTCCTAAACAAAAAGACCAGGGCCAGAGGGAGAATGATGGGAAAGATATTCTGCCAGCCAAGTTTGTTTTTCTTTATTTGAAACCCAGAAATTATGCTCAGAAGACCCACGTAGCAAACTTCCACATATATCTCCTATGCTCGCTTCAGTAACAATACAGTAACAATTCAGTAACAATACAGAGCAGATTAGCACATAGTTCCTGGACCAGATCCATCTCACAAGGGCTTTTTCTAGGTCACAGAAGACTGGAAAAGTGACTATATACCTGAACACATGGGCATGATGGCCCAAGTCAATGCCAAGGTTGTTCTACTCATTCTCTAAGAGTTATTTAATAGTATTGAAAAATTGCTATCATTTAAAATTCTTTACATATGTGTGAGGAATTGCAAAAGTAGTCTTCACTGATTGTCATTTGCATACCATATATCATCCCGATGGCTGTTTATGCCAAACTAAAGGCCATATGGAGTACCTGGTATTATGCCTTCTTACGTGTCAACCCTAAAGTCAGTCCTTTTCTAGACATAACAGCAATCCTGGCCATAACATAGGATGCTTGGCTGGTACTGCCATGTCCAAATAGTTTACCAGACATTTAGAAGCAGGAAACGAGGTGTTTGTAGAGTATTAGCCTACCAGTCCTCATTTGGTGTTTGTCATGAAGGCAAGAAAATAGCAGTTCTGGTACACATTTTGTGCGTATTGAAATTGGCAGTGTGCTGCTGTTCTCATTTGCAGTAAATTAGATATTGACTTTTCAGCACAAACCCATTGGGTTTACAATCAAAACAGGGTTAGCCTGCCTGGCTGTGAAAACAAGATTTTTTTCCCCTCTATGACATGCCTCTAAGTGGTATGTCAAGTTAATAACCCATAGAGGTGACATTTCCTTCCTGATTGTCGCTACTGCCATGTGTCTCCCCGCTACTGGCCTCTTTCGAACTTAACATTTTCTTCATATTTAATCGTATGTTGGACCAGAGGAAGGACCCAATCTTTCTATAATAGTTGATGGGGAAATAATTCGATAAACTATTTAAATTGGGAAAGAGTAAGTATTTCTTCACCAATCCATGCAGGGTGATCCCACACAAACGGAGACCACACAGACAACAGTAAGCATATTTTACTACACAGCTGGGCCTCATTGGTATTGCTGATTCAGGCATATCCGAGTCACACCACATGATACTAATACTTCAGAGACAGATGTACAGATATTTTGGAAAGAAGACTCTAAGGGTTACATAGAGCCTCTCTTTGTTTCGTCCTTTTTCTGTGCTGAAGACAGAACTCAGCACTTGCCAGGCAAGTGCTTTGGCATTGTTCTATGGCCCCAGCTGGCGCCCTGCTTTCTCAGTACACAGCTTGATCTTCCGTGCAGTGACTGTTACATTGTAGGTACTCCAGATTATTTTGGATTTAAACAGCAAAGCAAACCTCATTCACTGAATTCACGAGACTTCACTGTTCATGATATTTGTCCTAGATATATTTTCAGTGAAAGAAATGACCAAAACAGCAAAGTTTTAAGTTTACCATTTCCATAGATTTTTCTTCTTTGAACTTGTGATTCATTAATTTGAGTCAAAATTTAGAGCCAAGGTCAGCAATAGTGTAAGGAGAAATTGCTCTGAATTTGTAAATGCAAACATGTTTCTTTTTCAAGTTCAGTTCTAGTAGACAGGAGAGTAGAAAGACAGACCCTGGATCCGTTTTCGAAACCAGAGGTCAGTGAACTTTGACTGCAAAGGGCCAGGTGGCAGATGTGTTAGGCTTTTTAGGCCATATGGTCACAACTACTCAACTTTGCTATTACGCAGAAAGGAGCTACAGACAATACGTAACTGAACGAGCCTGGCTGTGTTCCAATAAAACTTTATTTGCAAAAACAGGCAGTGGGCCAAACTTGGGCCTACAGCCATAGTTTGCCAACCTCTGCTCTAAAAATTATTGCCAACACAGAACTCATTGCTTAGTCTTTTTCTTGCTCACATACTCTTCTCATAAAACCAGTTACTGCAATCAATGCAGTAGAAGTCATTTTAAAAAATCATTGTTTTGGTAGGATTTAGGCTTCTCCACTACAAAATATGTCAAAGAAATAAAACAGCAGCCGTCTCTCATGATAAAGTTAAGCACATGCCAAGAAGTCATGATTTCCTTAGAGAACAAAAACGTATTTCTTAGATGTGATTTTTGTCGGTCATGGGGATTGAACTCAGGGTCCGGACACTATCCCTGAGCTTTTTCACTCAAGGCTAGTGCTGTACCACTTTGAGCCACAGCTCGACTTCTAATTTTCTGGTGGTTTATTGGACATAAGAGCGTCATGGACTTTCCCGCCTGGGCTGGCTTTGAACTGCAATCCTCAGATCTCAGCCTCCTGAGTAGCAGGATTACAGGTGTGAGCCACTGGCACCAAGCAGATATGATTATTAATCATGGTTTTACTTTGAAGTATCACCTATAAACTGAGATAGAAGAAATATTGCTATAATAATAACTTTTAATGGCATCAGAACATCTAATGAAAAAAAGTCAACTATCTGACTTGCTATATGATAACAAATATTGGTACTGTTCCTGTTGGGTACCTAACTCTAGAAACAAATGGTGCCATATAGATCAGGAACTGGCAAACTTTAGGCCATAAACCAAATCCAGCAATCCACCTATTTTTGTAAATAAAGTTTTATTGAAATCTGGCTATACCCAGCTGTGTACAAATGGGCTACAGCTGCTCCCATGCCACAATGGCAGTGTTAAGCGCTTGCAATAGCAACTGGCCCACAAAGCCTAAAGCATTTACCATCCAGCCCTTTCAGGCTTGCCATTCCATAAAGTGAACAAAATGTAAAAATTCATCTTCCTTACTTTCATGCACAAGAGACCATTATGTGCTTAATCTTCTGACCCTATCCTCACCGTGAACTGAAAGTAAGTAAGGCCCTACTGGCTGGCTCTAGCCATACTCTTTTGAAAAGCAAAAGCCGTTACCAGCCAGCTAACTGTTTGTTAGATTGAGGTCATTTCTAGGATAGTAGTCCTCATGGGCTTTCCTATTTAGAGAAGCTTGACTTCAACAATCAGATGTCTCAGAAATATTATCTCAGGGGTGTGTGCTGTTCTACTAATGAGCATTGTTGCTATTCATAGCTCCCAACCCTCCCACAATTAGAGAAGAGCTCTGCACAGCTTCATATGATACCATCACTGTCCACTGGACATCCGATGATGAGTTCAGTGTGGTCTCCTATGAGCTCCAGTACACCATATTCACCGGACAAGCCAATGTCATTAGTGAGTATCTCATGGTCTATTTATTTCTCAATTTGGTAACTGTTTTCACATAGATTGCATGTTTGAATTTAAACATCAAAGAAAGACAATGAAGAAAAAAATATACCATATTTATTGCCTAGTCTTTCCTGCTCAAGAAAATGATAGCCCTCACATGTACTCTAGTAGTAAAAATAGCTGGTCAAATGTCAATACAAGTTAATGACCTTGGAAACCACACAGATGAGTCTCACAAACCTATTATTAAAGGGAAGAAGCAGGAAACAAGAGTATATGCAGCGTGAATGCATTTACTGATGAATAACTTAAAGACCAAGCTACATTATTTTGCGTCAGGATGCATTCACAGGTCTCAAAAGTATAAATACCAAACCAGATGATGGTTACCTTTGGAATGGGAGGGAGAATTGGTGTCTTCGGTAAGAAAAAACAGGACTAGCCACGGTTTCCGGGTAATTGTTCTATCCTTTAGTGATTATATCATACATTTCACTTTTTGTACTTTGCTGGCTGTTATTTCACAATTTTTAGAAAAGGAAAGGACTTTATAATAATAGCCAAATCATAACTAAACTCACTGTCCCATTCAGAGGTAATCTGTGGCCCTTAAATCAAATGTGAGTAGCCCGCCCCACCTGGGAAAATTTCTAGACTTACCTGAAGTATAGAGGGGCTCTTCTCTTGCTGAGGCTTGTTGCAAATTTAGCCTAGTGGATAATATAGGAAGCACTCCTTCCCACCCCACCCCCTACAGATCATAATTTAGAGCAAATGGCAAAGGACCAGAAGAAATGGCTTTGGGGGGGGGGGGGAGGAGCAAGTTTGAAATTTCTTTAGCAAAGAAAAATAGAATATGTCAAAGTATATCAGACTAGAATAGCAGCCACTTTTCAGCGAAGAGATGTTTTGAATAAATTCATATCAACTTACTGTGCTTTTGTTATATAAACCTATTCTCTCATGACTGTTCTATTCTCTGACAGTACAAGTAGTTCTCTGAAGCATGTGAGGCTTAAAATAGAAATTTTGTTTAAGATTAATGAAGAGTAATGCAAAAAGACACTCGCTTCTAAGTGACAAAAGTGTAAATGGCCTGTACCACACAGTGCTTCCTCTTTCCTCCCTTGTAACCACTTTTCCCAACTTCCTATCCCCAACCCATTCACCTTTCTCATCCCAATTGATTTATCTTAGAAGCTTTCATTAATACAGTGACCATACACACTATCCCACACACTCCTATTTGGAAGAGAGCTTAATATCATTTTGTCTTCACAGAAGAATTTATTTCTTCAATGTTGTAAGATGAAAATTACTACTGTAGTAGGTACATTGAGCTAGAAATTGAATCAAAGTTAAGCATCTAAAATTCAAAATGGTGAAGTCATGAACAGTGTTGATAAGTGAATCATATAATGAGAAAAAGAAAACATTTGAAGTCATTTCCTACTAAAAGAATAGCTCTTGGCCAATGTGTGAGCAATGCTATATTTCTCCGAAATCTGATCAAGTGATACCAGTTTTTCATTCCCTGTGAAATAAATTTCCTAAAACTTAGCAGCTTACAAAAAAAAACACCATTTACACCAGGGTGCCAGTGGCTCACACATGTAATCCTAGCTACTCAGGGGGCTGAGTTCTGAGGACTGTAGTTTAAAGCCAGGCTGGGCAGTAAAGTCCATGAGACTCTTAACTCCAACAAATTACCTAAAAGTCAGAAGTAGAACTGTGACTCAAGTGGTAGAGTACTGTCCTTCAGCAAAAGAAGCTCAGGAACTGTGCCTAGGCCCTCAGTTCAATCCCTAAGCAACACGTGTGTGCATGCACACACATGCACCCACGCACACGCACATGCACAAAACACTACCATTTACAGTTTTGATTTTCATAGGTCAAGGATTCTGGGTTGAACTGTTTCCTTTTCTTAAGGCTTCAAAGGGATAAATTCAAAGTATTGCCTAAGCTATATTTTCATCTAGATGCTCAACTAAGGAAGAGTCCAGCTTCTTGCCCTATCTGTTCCTTGGCAGAATTCCTTTTATTCTGGTTGTAGAATTCTTGACATTTACTTCAATACCACCAAGTAAAGGAGGAGGAGATGAAGTACCACTTCAAATCCCCGAACCTAAATGACACCAAGCTGAGGGGTGAAGCAGGTCTCTCACTCCCAAACCTGCCTAGAAGGGCCTCCCTTGAACGGGACAAACCCATTCATGAACTCAATGTCACCTGATTATGGACTCTTCACCCTCACCTTTGTCATATAATGCAGTACAATCACATAAGTGATCAAGGTGCCATATTCTATTAGTTATGCAAAGCTATTATTCCCACAAAAAACATAGACTTTACTCACCCACTATTGTATTTATCTATGTATATATGTATTTATTTATTTTGGTTATGGGACTTGAACTCAGGGCCTGAGCATTATCCCTGAGCTTTTTCACTCAAGGCTGGCATTCTACCACTTGAGCCACACCTCCACTTCCAGCTTTCTGGTGGTTAATTGGAGATAAAAAATCGCATGGACTTTTCTGCTTGGGCTCGCTTCAAATTACCATCATCAGACCTCAGCCTCCTCAGTGGCTAGGATTATAGGCATGAGCTGCCAGTGCCCAGCACTATTGTATTTTCAAAGTGAGGCTATTATTGTTGTATGTCATCAAATGGAGGTCAGCTTTAAAATTTGGCAAGATTATTTCATAGATTTTCACCCCATCTCCATGTCAAAGGTTGTCACATTGAACTCTGTCCATCCTTCCTATCATTGGGAAGACTATCTTTTGCAGATGTTGTATCGAGACACAAGATAAAACATGTTGTATTGAAGCACAGTAAAACCCTATTGGAAATGAGAATGTATGTTGAAACCCTTCCTAGAGCTTCCTAAGATACTAGGACATGTTTGACTGTCTCAAGGTCACAGTTTTTTCCCTTGTCATAATAACTTGTAATTAATTGCTGTTCAACTGGCCTTAGCAAAGGAGAATTAGATAATATCCATGATTTTTTCCAGTCATACAAAGGATCTTGCTACTGTACACATCCAAATGCAAAATTAATGACATTTATTTTTTTATTTTTATTGAAAAAATTAGAACTCCAGTTGTTAATGAATTGCTTATTAGCATCTAGATATGTATTTAATTTTCTAACACTTTCTGTATTTCTAAAATTACTTTTAAAAATTTTATTAGCGTACATTAGCTATACAAGGGGGATTTCATTATGGTATTTCCACACACTGTACAAATGTGTTCCAGTCAATCTACTCCAATCTACTACTTCCCTTTATCACAATCAACCCTGAAAAACATTTCACAAGGTTTCCTTGTTTTATTTTCATACTTGCTGACAATCTCTTTTACAACATCCATCATCTTGCATTTTCATTGGCCCCACTGTTTCTCTGGTACCCAATTCCTGAACAGAACTTTTTTCCCCTCCTCCTAACCCCCCTATGGATCAACAGCTTTTTGTATGTGTGTGCTGGTCCTAGGGCTTGAACTCAAAACCTAGGCACTGTCCCTGAACTACTTTTTTTTGGGGGGGGAGGGGGTCAGTAGTGGGACCTGAGCTCTGGGCCTGGACTCTGTCCCTCAGCTCTTCAGCTCAAAGATAGCACTCTACCACTTGAGCCACTGCACCACTTCCAGCTTTTTCTGCTTATGTGGTGCTGAGGAATCGAACCCAGGACCTCATGCATGCAAGGCAAGCACTCTACCACTGAGCCACCTTCCCAGCCCGTCCCTGAACTACTTTTACTCAAAGCTAGTGCTCTATTAGTTGAACTACAGCTCTACTTCTGGCGGACATTCCTGCCAGGGCTGGCTTCAAACCATGACCTTCAGATCTCAGAAACAGCTAGGATTACAAGCAGAGCCACCAGCACCCAGCAGCTTTTTTGAGGGTTTTTTTAAATACTGTTTTCATGTATGGTTATGGAATATCTCAAAAGTATTCACCCTCAAAATTATTCTTTTTCCTTTTTCCCTTCCCCTTCTGAGTATTCCTTATTTAGACTCATTCTATATGAGTCTCTCTCTCTCTCCATACACACACACACACACACACACACACACACACACACACACACACACACACACACACACACACACACACATCTTTAATACTTGGTCAAAAAATCTTAAATTAGGGGGGCCGGAGGTATGGTTCAAGTAATACAGCAGCTGCCTAGCAAGTGTGAGACTCTGGGTTTGATCTCAACACTGAAAAAAACATCTTAAAATTGGGGCCTTTCCCAGCAGGCTGTTTTTATTATAGCAAAAAGTAAGAGCCATATTTCTTCAAGCCATCATCACAGAATAGTTATGTGTATTTGTTTTAGTCATTTGGAAGCATTCATGAAAGTCCCTAAATACAAACTATTTATACAGAGAAGACAAAGCGTGTGAGAAGCCGTACAGGATTCCCTGAAGGATGTCCATATTGCATTATGTTTTCCAGCAAGATGACAGTTGCCATACTTAGGGCTCTGAAATTCCCAGTGTAATTAAAGTCTTATAATGGACCACATTATGCAGGGAAATATTTCTGATCCATTGCAAATAATTTTTTTTTATTTTGTTTTGTTTTTTACCGGTCGTGGGACCTGAGCTCTGGGCCTGGACTCTGTCCCTCAGCTCTTCAGCTCAAAGATAGCACTCTACCACTTGAGCCACTGCACCACTTCCAGCTTTTTCTGCTTATTTGGTACTGAGGAATCGAACCCAGGGCCTCATGCATGCAAGGCAAGCGCTCTACCACTGAGCCACCTTCCCAGCCCCTCTATTGCAAATGAAAAACAAAAAAGAATACAGAATCAAAAGGCCTCAAATGAGGTGTTCTTAGGGGTTAATTATCTTCTAATTTCTATTGGGTTTTTTGGGGTTTTTTTGCTTATTTTGTGCCAGTACTGGGGCTTAAACTCAGGCTTTGGGCACTGTTCTTTATAGTTTTTTGCTTAAAGCTAGGATTCTACCACTTGTGCCACACTTCTACTTCTGGCTTTTTGGTGGTTAATTGGAGATAAGAGTGTCTCATACACTTAAACCTGAGATCCTCAGATCTCCTGAGTAGCTAGGCTTACAGACATAAACCACTAGCACTGGGTTCCATTGTTGTTTTAGTACTTCATGCTAAGCTAGGGTTGGTGAAGATTAAAATGCCCTCAACAAGTTTGGAACAAAGTTAAGTTTTGGTCAGGATGGTCCAGGTGTTTCATTAAAAAAAAGAAAAAGAATAAAAACTAGTCACCAGTCCTAGCACAGTGGGGTGTCAAGGTAGACAAGTTTTCCGTGAGCAAACCTGGCACTCTGCTATACGCAAGCTATTAGGTGGGACTGGCCTAAGACCAATACTAATAAGGCAATAATGTGCTCCCAGTCCCCCAAAGGAACTTTCCAGGTCCCCCAAAGGAAATTTTCAACATTGCCTCTCCATTGTCTTCCTAGCAATAGTGATGATGATGATGATGATGATGATGATAAGAATAATATGAAAGTAACCCCAAATAGCAGTAATTGTTAGCATTCTTCAGTATAAAGCAATGTAGTAAAATTTTTACTGCTCCATGAGCCTTTTGTCCTTTTACTATTCAAGGAGAATTCAAAATATTGCTATCTGAAATAATGAAGATAGAGTCCCCTTTTTCTGTAGAAAACATTTCTGAAGGGCTGGGAAGGTGACTCAGTGGTAGAACGCTTGCCTTGCATGCATGAGGCCGTGGGTTCGATTCCTTAGCACCACATAAGCAAAAAGAAAAAAGCCGGAAGTGGCACTGTGGCTCAAGTGGTAGAGCGCTAGCCTTGAGCTGAAGAGCTGAGGGACAGCACCCAGGCCCAGAGTTCAGGCCCCACGACCGGACCCTCCCCCCCCCCAAAAAAAAAAGAAAGAAAGAAAACGTTTTTGAAATGTGAAATCTCTGTCAATTTATGGTGCTGAGTCAGAGGCCACGTTGTAGTTTGCAGCAATTTCTGTCGTGTACTTCATGCTATCACTGAAAGCATTCACCCAGCACACTAGACCCAGCTTCAGGTTGTACAGTACTGAAAGTTCATGGAGCTTTTTTTACATTTGCTTTCTTTGACCACAGTAGTCATATTTTTGTAAACTATGTACTTAACTAAAAACAAGGTAAAAGGAATGAAGTTGCTAAAACTATCCTTTCAATCTACTAAATGCTGTTATTGTTTTCATTGACCTATTACTGACTGCTGTTGACATAGATCTAGACATATAAGTGAGTTGTCCAAGACAATAAGAAAAGCAATTTTTTTGCTTATTACTATTATATTATTAAGTATCTTAGTAAATTGTAGGCATCAGGGATCCCAGAGTTCAAAATGACCCTTCCTACATTGGAATGAAACCTAATATTTTCCCATTGCAATCTCCAGAAGTATGCAGTTTATTATAGCTAGAAAAGGTAAAGCAAGGAAAGGTCAAAGAAAATGTGTGTTGAGGATACTCATGTCACTGTGGTATTTGTGGCTGCTTCCTGCATCTTGCACAAGTAAGCTTTTGGAGGATTAAGAGTTCTAGAAAAGATGCTGGGCACTGGTAGCTTAAGTCCTAACTACTGAGAACACTGAGCTCTGGTGATCATGGTTTGAAGTCATACAAGACTGGAAAGTCCATGAGACAGTTAACTCCAGTTAACCAGCAAAAAAAGTTAGAAGTGGAGGTGTGGCTCAAGTGGTAGAGCTTGAGGGGGAAAACATAAGCTGAGACATAGTACCCAAGCCCTGACTTTAAGCTCCAGTTCTCTCTCTCTTTCTCTCTCTCTCTCTCTCTCTCTCATACACACATACACACACACACACACACACACACACACACACACACACACACACGAGTTACAGGCAGTTGTAGAATACATGCTGCCTCCTGTTGCATTACAGGGCCTCCAAACACACACTCGCTCCAACTCTTCTGAGAGTCTTTATTTTCAAGCCTGGTATTCCTCTGGTAGAGATGTTCACAGGTGGCAGTGAAAAAAAAAGTGACAGAAAATTAACAAGTGTGTGTGTGTGTGTGTGTGTGTGTGTGTGTGTGTGTGTAAAACCTGACTGGTACATGCCTGGAAATGCTATGAACTTGACACAGTCAGCTGTGGTGGATTTTCACAACCGATCAAATATAAAACGCTCTTCTTATCCATGTCAATAGCAGAGGAGCCTGTGACTATCTTGCTATACAAATATTAGTGATTCTGTGTGTGCATGCATTTGTGATTTTCTTTGTACTGAAAGAGTTTATTGGCTTCTGGAGGGGGGAGGGAAGAGGTGATCAAGAAATTGTTTCTTAAAAGTCTGAGAAGGTAGAAGTTGCCTTAGGATCAAAGAGACTGAGCCTTTGACTTGCAAATGAACCAAAAGGGAAGGAGAGGGGAGGTGAATTTGGAGCCCCTCAGGAAGTGAAGGGGTCCAGCCCTCTCCCAGGGACGAGTGAAGGAAATCCAACAGAAAGGAAACTTCTTGACAGCTCAGTCACCAGGGGTCTGGAAAAAGGTTCTATTGGAGTAGAGATTGATGGCTGGAGAGAGGAGAGAGTTGGGCTTGATACCAAAAAGATGTTTCTAGCATCAGCCAGCTGCAAAACAAGATGGGCTTCCTTTTAACTACATGTACTTCCAAGCACCATAAATCCTCAGCCTGCTCCTCAGCCCCCACATCCTGCAAGATGCAGCCAGAGAAACAACCTCAGTTCAATCTGGAAGCAGACATCCTAGGATGCAGCTGCTCAGTCCCTGGGGAGACTTTCCCAAGCTGCCTGTGGGTGCTGCTACTCCTAAGTTGCTGTCATAGAGGATCACAAAGTAGCATGAGAGTTATTTTTGGAGCATGGTTGGGGTTGGCTGGTGCCTGCGGGGCTTGCTCCTGCCCTGCCCTGGCAGTTAGACTATGGTGTCTCCTTTGTTTGGATGAACAGTCTGTCCTAAAAGATGTCGTCTCTGTGGTAATGACAGAAATTCCATTGAGGGGTCTACAGAAACCCACAAAGCCTTGTAATACCTACTCTTGCGACCACCACATTCTTAGTTTAGCTTCATCCTATTGGTCAAAGTATATCACAAGCCCAGAGCCAAACAAGGATCTCTCTAGAGAGAGCAACTACAAAGTCATTTGGGTTTGGACACAAGACAAGCTGAAGAATTAGAGGCAAGAACACACTGTGCTACCTTGGTGTTCATGAACTTGGATTTTAGTACATGACTCGGGTCTCTGCCATCTGTGAATCTCAGAATTGATAGGATCCAAAACTTGATGTTCAGCAAAATACAGATGGGAGTGAGGGTGGGGTGGGAGGAACCAGTGATTGCTTTCATTTCATTTTTACAGCAGCTAATAACATACCAAGTGTATATTCAGTGTTTTAGGTACAGCCAAGCCCAGCACTGGTAGTTCATGCCTGTAAACTTAATAACTCAGAAGGCTGAGATCTGAAGATCATGGTTTGAACCAGCCCTGACAGGAAAGTCCACTCCAATTAACCATCCAAAAACTGAAAGTAGAGCTATGGCTCAAGTGGTAAAGCACTAGCCTTGAGCTAAAAAGCCAAGGGACAGTGCTCAAGCCCTGAGTTCAAGCCCCAATAGAGGCATACAAAAAAAAGAAACTCAGAAGGTAATTCGTCCATAATGAATCCAAATAGAGCTAAAGGAGAACTTGAGGCCCTGAATTTAAGCCCCCGTATAAAGCACACAAAAATGCAAATTAAAAAAGGTGTGGACAGAGGCACTTTTGCTATTCCTAGTAACACAAACCAAAATTTGCGATAGAAGAAGTTTAAGTCTAAGTCTTATTCATCTAGAGCAAACAGTAGAAGCATACAATTGACCTCTGTTAAGACAGAACACTGCACTCATGTGTTGTCCCTGATTTTTTAAAAAAGTGCAAATTGATGAATTTATCAAATCTTATGATAAACAAAAATTCTGCAAACATCGTCCATGCTTGCACTTGTCTGGTTGGCTTTGCAGGTCTGTGTAACTCGGCTGATAGCTGGATGATTGTGCCCAATATCAAGCAGAACCACTACACAGTACATGGTCTGCAGAGTGGCACCAAGTACATCTTCATGGTCAAGGCCATCAACCAGGCAGGCAGCCGCAGCAGCGAGCCTGGCAAGTTGAAGACAAACAGTAAGTGTGGTGAACTCAGCGGAGCTGTCATCTCCCATTTGCTCGCCTTTCGGCTGATTCTATCCCCTTCCTTTTCCTTGTTTCTGTCTTGGGCATTGCTGACAGCCTAAAAAAATTGAAAAAAAATTAAAGAGCCAGCATGCAATAGTGGAATTTGATTCAGCTGTCCCCGCATTCCAAAACCAGCTCTTCCTTCAAAGCTAGGAGGCTTTTAACCTTTGAGGACTTGAATCTTCTCGAAGAGTTCTGATGAGAAATGAGTATGTATATCTGAAGCCTGACATAGAATAGATGTTCTGTGAATGAGGAATAATATTATGTTCCATATCAACTCTTTACTTAATCATTTATTTTATTCCACGTATCTGTCTGGGTCTTTGGGTCTGAGTTGGAGGCAATTTTGCCCTTTCTCCAACCCCCGCATACCCAAAGGATATTTCCAATGTCTAGTGATGTTTTGGGGTGTCACAACTAGGGAAGGGCGACTAGCATTGAGCAGGTAGAGCTGAGGATGATGCTCTCTTCTTTCTTTATATCCTTTTGTGTCTAGAAATATTATGTGATGTAACGCTAAACAACAGACTACTAACCAATTTTGACTTGTCTAAGAAGTAACAGCTATGACAGAATGGCCAGGGGTGACTCATAGTTAAATCTCCAAAACAAAATAGGAATAGTGAAATAGAAAGGACCTTATTCATTGTATATGTGAATACAGTCAGGCATAAAAAAAATCCTAGATATCACCATCATATTTTTTTTCTGGATTTTTGTGGGCTGGAAATTTTTACAATTTTGTGGTTCTTTTAGCTCCTCAGTGTAGTTGCTTTAATGTTTAAGAATCTCAGTATAGCTGGGTGCCAGTGGCTACTATAATCCTATAATCCTTGTGAGATTGAGATCTGAGGATCAAAATTTAAAACCAGCCCAGGCAGAAAAGTCCATGAGACTTCTATCTCCAAGTAACTAGCAAAAAAAAAAGCCAGAAGTGGAGCTGTGGCTCAAGTGATAGAGCACTAGTCTTAAGCAAGGAATGCTTAGAACAACACCTGGGCCCTGAGTTCAAGCCCCAGAACAGGCAGACCAAAAAGTACCTTTGAATAGTGGAAGCATTTAACAAATTCTACATGGTAAGATCAGAAATCTGGATTTGGTTGGTTTCTGGTCTGAAGTCTATTGTGCACATGCATGTGTTTAGGCCTGATTAAATGTGGTCATGGTGTAAAAGAAAGTCTTTGTTTTCTCCTCCTTTTCAGGATACTCTCTAGCCAATATTTACCTGTGCTGGAATCCTCCCAGATAGCTCACCTCTCATGGCGTTGAGCCTTGCCTATGCTATTATTAACCAGTCAGCACAGCCCCTCTGACCTGCTGGCCCCTGTCTTACAACAGACTGGGGGCTCATGGAGGCCCCAAAATGCTCTTGTACATGTGTCCTGTGTCTAGCGCTGTACATAGAGTTGCAATTCCTTAACCATATATTTTGCATATGATGAAAACTGCAAGCAAATGGCTTCATAAGTTGGTTATAAAGCTTATATTACTGTTAAAATAGAAGCTACTGCTTTGTGATAGAGGAGTAGGTTTTTTTTTTTTCCTAGTCTTTTAAAACTGTCTCTGAAAATACACCCTTGGTCATGCATGTTCAGATAAACAGTGCTTCTCACTTCTTTTTTGCTTTGTGAACTTGTTTCCAGGCCAACCATTTAAACTGGATCCTAAATCTGCTCATCGGAAACTGAAGGTGTCCCACGATAACCTCACAGTAGAACGTGATGAGTCATCATCTAAAAAGAGCCACACGCCTGAACGCTTCACCAGCCAGGGGAGCTATGGAGTAGCTGGAAATGTGTTCATTGATAGTGGCCGGCATTACTGGGAAGTGGTCATAAGTGGAAGTACATGGTAGGCAACTTGTATCTATTGTCCTCTGGTTCTGAAAAGGCACATCTCACTGTGTACTTTGTCAGAGTATCAGTCCATAGCAGAATCCTGCAGAAAAGCTGTAACAGTCAGCTGTGGCTACGTGACAAATACCCCAAAAGTCAGTTCCATCAAATATTCATTTATTGTTGCTAACTAATATCCGTATCTATGGGTTAGTTGATCAAGGTTTCTCTTAACTGAGCTTGCTTTAGCCTGTTTTGTGCCTCTTTGTTCCCTTGAGTCATCTAGGGGTCCTCTCAAGGACCCCAAGAAGGCAAATCCATTTGAAAACCTCTGCTTACAACCTATTAATTAAATTCTTATTGACCAAAGTGCTATGACCAATCCCAAAGCCAGTGGTACAAGGAAGTACAGTTCTATTATGGAGGTAGGACGAAGGTGTAAACATTTGTCAATCATCTAATCTAACTCTTGGGTCAATAAGAAAAATACCAGAAGCCCATGCAATATTTTGTTCTTGGCAAGAATTAAAGACAAACTCTACAGTTATAGTAATACCTGAGACTATGTGAACACTGCCTATTCATGCTTTAAGACACAGGTAGGTAGGCAACAGCCTAAGAGCAAGACCTGGTCTGAGGCCTGCTTTTTAAATCAAGTATTATGGGCATGTTCCTATTCCTTTTGTTTATGGCTATCTTTGGACCATGATGGCAGCTTAAGCAGTTCAGGCAGAATCATGTGATCCATAGTACCAAAACATAGTTAATTATATGCCAATTACTACTCCAAACATTATTTGTCTTTTTTTAGTTTATTTTTAAGCTAGCTATAGTGATGTACTCCTGTAATCCCAGGTAGTTGGTAAGCAGTGGTGAGAGATTGCCATTGGATGCCACCCCAGGTTAAAAGTAAGAAGTTAAAGAGGGCCCTCCCGTTTTTGGATTGGCCCTGGGGTTTGAAGGTTGTTGCATTCACCCAGCACCTGCTCTAGCACTTTAGCCACTCCCTCGGCTCAGCCTCTATACCCACCTCCTCCCCCCACCCGCAAAAAAAAAAAAAAAAAAAAGCTAGGAGTGCTGGCACATACCTATAATTCCAGCAACAGAGAAAGCAGAGGTAGCAGAGGTAAAAGGATTGCAGTCCTAAGTAGGCCCCAGGCTAAAAGCACAGATACTACATGAAAAATAAAGGCTAAAGCAAAAAGGGTGAATGGGCTGCTCAAGTCATAGACCCTAACCCCGCCCGCAAGCAAGCCTAAGGCCTGAGTTCAAACCCCAGTACTGCAACGTTGCCTTGTGTATTTTGTAATTCAAGACATGGCCAATTTGCTCAAAGAGTGAAGGACTAGGACCAAGCAGTGACTGTAGACTGGAAATAATCTCAATATGTGCAGTGAACTCTATGAAGGGGAGCATCCCTAATCACAGCCCCAAACTGGACTTTTTGCTGTCTCACAGATGCCTGCCTACTATTGATGTGAAGGGTACCTATTTTGTTTTTATTGAATGAGCCTTTATATGGCACAATCAGGTGCCAAGCAAGACACTGATCACAAAGTATTTTGTAGATACTAACTCATGAATTCATCACAACAGTCCTACGCAAGTAGGTGCTGATACCTGACTTTGCAGATGAGGTAACTGGCTCTGTGCTCAAAGATCCCAAAACTCACAGATGGCAGAGTAAAGAATACTGCAATCAAGGATCAGGCTCTTAAGTAGCAGTCCACAAACACCATCTGTACAAAGACCAGAGAGTTAATTTCCTGATTTTATGGGCCAGACGATTTTTGTCCCAACTCAACTCAGCTGGTGTATTGAGAAAGCGGATACAGACAGCACTTTCTCTCTCTCTCTCTCTCTCTCTCTCTCTTTCTCTCTCTCTCTCTCTCTCTCACACACACACACACACACACACACACACACTCACACACACAGAAATGGACATGGCTGAGTGCCCATAGAACTTCATTCGTAAAAGCAGGCAGAGGGCCAGAGATGAGCAGTGTCGTAGCTTGCTAAGTAAGCCTTGCTCTTTACCACCATGCCAGGCCGCTACTCACAAAAACGATGATAGCATTTGAAATGCTAGAGTTGTGACTTGTCTTTGAGGCTTTCTGTGGTGTATTTAACAAGTAATATGTTTCTTCAGTTTAACAATAAAATCAACACTTGAAAAATGCTTATACACTAAAGATGGTGAATATTATGACATATGCCTTCCTTGTGCATATGCTTAGTTTAACAAAAGACCTCTTTTCCTTTTTGGTGCCTGACCTAGGGCTTGAACTCAGGAGCTAGGGGCTATTCCTGAGTTTATTGTTGCTTGAGGCTAGTGCTCTACCACTTGAGCCACAGTTGTTCCACATCCAGCCTTTTGGGTGCTTAGTTGGAGATAAGAGTCTCATGGCCTTTCTTACCCCAGCTGGCTTTGAACTGTGATGTTCAAATCTTAGCTTCTTGAGTAGCTAGAATTAAAGGTGTGAGCTTCAGGTGCCTGGCCAAAGACCTTTTGTTTGAAACCCATGCAAATAATGCAATATATGTATGTCTTCTCATAGGGCAGGCACAAGTTGATTCAAATCTAAAAAGTGAGATTACAAGTATAGGTGACCCCGCTGTCCCAATAATGCCACCTATATTGGCTGAGTAATTGCCATCCTCACAATTCTCTTTGCCTCAAATATTTTCCTGTTCCAGCATCTTGTCAGAGGATAAATGAAGGACAAGTCTTTCATTCTGAGCTCTGGACTAGGCTGATATTTGCAGATTTTTGTTGTACTGGGGCAAGATAAAATCATAAAGCAAAACACACTGAATGCATGCAAAAAAGTAAATGTTTCTAGTTAATTAATGTGCTGTATTAATCTGGGATGGAATCCAGTGTCTAAATGATTATAACTACATTAATAATTATTTATGATAAGTGATACCCAGTCGTTATGATCTCATTGCCATTGATGAATAGCACGGGAAATTCCACCAGACCACTTCAGTTACATAAACAGAGATCAGCATTACCTTTAAAACACCCTCCAGATGTCAAAACTAACTCATGACGGGGGAAAGAAATGCTACGATTAATTGCTATACTTTGGGTCTTTATGAATCTGATTGGGTCAGTTTCGGAAAGAAATCTTTCATGTACAAAGTAGTTCCACATTTCCTGGGAGGTATTAGCAAGGAAAGGGAACCCCCCTCCCATCATTAAATGCTTGTGACACCTTCATTTGCAACAGCTAATGACCGAAATATTTTTTTTCATGGAATACGGTCCTGAAGTTATTGATCCACACAATGAGCCATGTTAACAATGCTCTGAAAAACATTTTTTATACCTTTTGAATTCTGCATGTCTCATTGGATAATTTAATGGAACGTAACAGTCTGCTGCCTGCCCCTTTCAAATGCAATGGAAATATGTACATCGTTTTCCAGATTAATGGTGATATAATGGTATTTACCTTTGCTTAATGGATTATACCTTTGGTTGTTTTCTTACTCTTGAACTCTGTTAATGTTAATGTGTGCTCCGTGTTTTATGAAATGGTGTTAACTAGAGCAGTAATAATGGATTTGTGCATTCATTGCTGGGCCAGAAATCAAGGCATCAGCATGAGATTTCCGGATTTTCCTCCAAATTTTCACTTTGCCTGTGATTAAATGAAATCAGCCATTCCTGCTGATGCTGCTTCATATGGTTCAGTTTGGCTCAAATGGGAAATAAACATCAGAATTCTGAAATTAAAAAAATAAAATGGTGCCGGGCGCTGGTGGCTCACGCCTGTAATCCTAGCTACTCAGGAGGCTGAGATCTGAGGATCGCGGTTCAAAGCCAGCCCGGGCAGGAGAGACCGTGAGACTCCTATCTCTAATAAACCACCAGAAAACCGGAAGTGGCGCTGTAGCTCAAGTGGTAGAGCGCTCGCTTTGAGCTGAAGAGCTGAGGGACAGCGCCCAGGCCCAGAGTTCAAGCCCCACGACCGACAAAAAAATAAAATAAAATAAAAAAATAAAATGGTATGCTACAGCAAGAGGCGAACAATAAAGACAAGGTTATTTGTGTGATATAAATGCAGGTCCCAAATTATCCAAAAGATGGAAGCAAATGTTTGTCAACAGAGAACCCCCTTGTGGAGTGATCTTTTAAATTCTAAATCACAAACTTCCGAAGTGTGTTGGTTGGAACTCCACAGATAAACAAAAATCATTCAAATCCTCCCCCATGGAGGAAGGCAGCCCAAAGCACACCGGACCCTCGGTGGAGCGGGGAGTATAAGTCAGTGTGTCTACTGTTCTGGTATTTGGAGTCACAAAGCTTTGCTGCCATGGGAAATGTAGCCCAGAATTCTCTGCGTGAGTGAGCAGGACAGGACTGGCGAGAGGGAAGAGAGGATGCTGTGTTGACAACAGATGGCCAGCATGCTGTTTTAATGGATTACCCATTCCATCTTTATTTTTTTCATTCAAATATAGCATGTTATATTAATTTTTATTTTTGAAGTATCACTCTTAATTGATTGTATGTGTTATCGAACATGTGATTTTTTTTTTAAGGAATACCATTTTAACAAAGACCAATGAAGTCTTTCCCTCTGCACTGGGTAAGGTACCCTCTGTCAATATCCAATTACCCTGACTTATGCTCTAACATATTTAAAGTGGAACTAGTAGTGATTGAGACTGAATGATGACAAGGGACTTACTCTCATCAATGGAAATAATTCTCTCCACTTACCTTTGGCAAAGTCAATTTGGAGTCATTGAAAACAGATATGGTATCAATTGAAAAATGTCCAGAAAGTCAGAAGGACAAGTCAAGAGCTGCCCAACCAATATGGTATCCAAGAGCCACATGGAGCTATTTAAGTAGTTTAATTAGAATTAAATACAGATGCTCCTCCACTTACGATGGGGTTGTGTCTTGATAATCCCATGGTAAAATGGAAATATCATAAGTGAAAATGCATTTACTACATCTAACTTGCCACACATTGTAGCATTTCTAGCCTACTGTAAAAATTCCCAAGATACTTATATTAACATGCAAGAGGGTAAAATCGTCTACCAGAAAGTCTAATTTCTAATGAAGGGTTGACTATCTCCTATAACTCCCTGCTTACAGTACTCTATAGAGGAAAGTGCTGTTTACTCTGGTCACATGGCTGGTTGGGAGGTATGGCTGCTGGCCACTGCCCAGTATCAGAAGCAAATATTGGATGGCCAAGCACAAACCTAGAACAAAACAAAATTCAAAATTTGAATGCATTTTGTGATTCCACGCTATTACAAAGTAGAAATATCCTAAGTCTGGCCATCTAAGTCAGAGATTGTCTATAAATGTATAGTTAAATTCTCAATAGCGATATGTGACTTGGGGCCACCATTTTGAACAGAGCAGAATTCATTCAGAGTGGGCTGGAATCAAGAGAAAGTAGATAAAACCACAGAAGTGAGGCTCAAATTCTCTTTTCAATGTATGCACTGGAAACAGGACCACAGGCAAACACACTGGCCCCTTTCCACCTACTGTATGTCTGTGGAGGAGAAGATGAAAAACACAGGGGTTGGGGTTCTTGCCAAGCTCTTCACTCAAAGAGAATGCTCAGGAACAAAAAAGAACCATGTTTTCATGACCCCAAGGACCAGCGAATGGACCTAACACACGTGTACAGTGTGACCCATTGTTTCTATCATTGCTCTTTTGTCTCTGCAGGTATGCCATTGGCCTTGCTTACAAATCAGCCCCAAAGCATGAATGGATTGGGAAAAACTCTGCTTCCTGGGCCCTCTGCCGCTGCAACAATAACTGGGTGGTCAGACACAACAGCAAGGAGACCCCCATTGAGCCAGCCCCTCATCTCCGGCGCGTTGGCCTTCTGCTGGACTATGACAGCGGCTCCATCGCCTTTTATGATGCTTTGAACTCCATCCACCTCTACACCTTCGATGTGGCATTTGCGCAGCCTGTGTGTCCCACCTTCACTGTGTGGAACAAGTGTCTGACGATCATAACTGGTCTTCCTATCCCAGACCACTTGGATTGTACAGAGCAGCTGCCTTGAGTGTCTGATCACATGCACCTGCTTTCTAGAGGAATGAATAAGGTTGAGGCCATTATTTAGGGAACCGAGAGAGCAGAGGCTTTGAAAATCTGATTAAATCTCCCCCAAAGTATCCAGAAATGAAACAAGATAGGGCTCAATATGGGAGAGTGCTTTCCTCTTACTGTGTTTTGTATTAAGTACAGGCTTTAATAGTTTCTTTAATTTTTTTTGTATTTAGAGGAAAATCTATAGAATTATTTATAAAAGAAACGTAATCGGAATTACAACTCTTAGGAATTACTTGGTTTTGCACAAGGAGAGGCCCATAAGTTTACCAGATCTTTACGCCTTTTAATTTCATCACCATTTATGGGTTTGCAAAAAAAAAAAGTTTTTGTAGATTTCTACGTTTATTCATCTTCTCACATACTATTTCATACTGAGCCCATGGGAAGTGTTATCACTTTAACAGTGCATAACAAAACATGCAGCTATTTTAAAAAATATAAAGTAATTTTGAACTAATTAGGGATATAAACAAGTTTTCTTATAATGATTTGATTTGGAAGTGTTTGTTAACTGTGATGTCAAATCTCTTGTTGGATCATCTAGAATGGAGAAAGAGAATGTTCAGAATTGACTGAACTTTAGACTTAGCTATGGCTTATCCTTTAACTTCCTTCTGATGACTAGAGGAATAATGTTAGGATGAAAGGTTCTGGAGCTTTGGTTGTATGTTACCCCTCTTTTCTAAGAGATTTGGGGCTAACATTATGAATGAGATTACAATTGAAAATAGTGACTTTGATTTTCTGCAGGTTATTAAAAAATACAGGCTGATTTGTCTTTTATCAGAAGTAGGATACTGTTTCATGCTTTAATAGTTTTATCTTTAGGCCTATGAAAATTCTTCATTACATTTAATAGTTGTCCTATTTCCCCCTCCACAAGTCATTTTTTTCTTTTATACCTGGGACTCAGGAAATAAACCTGTTATTTCATGAGTGAAAACTATACTTTGAATTGATTTTGCTCTCTGGGATCAGTGTATGTCCCAGACCCCACAACCACATCCAAGTATAAGAAGGAGTAATAACAAGGGACATTGCAAAGGTACAATTTACTACTGTATATCCTTTAAAATATTACAAACAGAATCTTATTAAACACATCTTGATAGATATAGAAGTTCCTCTATTTTATAGTGTAGCTTACCTTAGAGTTGTATGACAAAAAAGAAAATTTAAACTCTTCATATGCAGGCACTTTATTGAACCTGCTAATGAAATGTCAGATGAGTGTTTTATTTTATTATTATTTTTTGCATGCCGATCTGATACATCAGAATGGTCCCTGAATTAAGGCTTTTTTGGATGGTCTTTAAGCTGGGATGTTAGCATAGATTCGCTTCTGCAAAGAACATGACCTGTATACATGGTTTTAATTGCTAAAATATTTATCTGGGCTACTGGGTCAGGCACTGACCGAACATACTTATAGGCTGAGGTATTGTTTTTAGTGGTTTTGTTTTTTAACAAAATCATCCATTTTTCCCCTGAAATAAATCAATAAATCATTGTTTCCTCATCACATGGCCATTGCTGATGTGATTGTCAATCTAGACTTCAGGGAAAACCAAGCTTCCTATGTCTTTATAGCTCTTCCCTGGCAGTCGCTGTCCTTTTTCTTAACAGAAAGATTCTATATATTTACTATATTATTTATACCCAGATGGATATTTTGATAGCAACTTGAGACAATTTCACGTCTTAAAAATTGACACCTCATTGGAAAATTATTCATCATTTCTCTGGAAAATGAATGGGACTTTTTTTTTTTTTTAGCCAATACCAAAACGATGTATATTTGCCTTCCCTAAATAAACTGAAAGGGTTGCCTCAGTAACTTACATGTTTTGGGTAACTGGATAGTGGATATTTAAATGCACTTTGTACACTTACAGGTTCTAAGTAATAGGGTCTAAAACTCAGTTTCTGAGTTTTTAAAAATCATGATCTCCAAATACCAATAAATGTTACAGTTTGCCTTATGATGTTCACGTAAAACATTTATTAGAAAGACACTATTTCCATGAATATAATGTTTTTTCAGGATGAAGATATTACTACTCAAATTTTCACTGCAAGTTATTTAGGGTATGTTTTGGCTATTTTTCTAAGGATACGACAGATTATGTTATAATTTTGTTGTGGAAGTCTCACTCTTGGCTAACTTAAAAACATTGTGGATGTAGCAGTTACTATTTCCAGGTTGTCATATTTACAGGAAAATATGTATATGGTGAAAGGCTACAGTGTTTAATGACTGTAATGATGTAGAAAGGATTTCCATGTGGATTTTTTTGAAAGTCTAAAAATACATGCTGTAAACATTTGCTGCAGTATAATTGTGTATTCTCTTTAAATGGATTGGGGTCACAATATTTTATTCTTTGAGGTCCTTCACAGGAAGCATTTCCATATGAGACAAAAGAGATGGCAGTGCCAATTATACTAATATAACAGAACTGATTTGACGCTAACCAAGGCTACAAGGGCTGGTATTGTAAGTGTGCAAATGGCTGAGTTGCTCAGAACTCTGGCTTCCAAAGGGCCTCAAAGCTTGGTATCATGTTCTGTCACTGTCATGAAATTCTTGAAAGTTTGAACAAAGGGCCTGCATTTTCACTTTGCACCGGGCCCTGCAAGTTATGCAGCCAGAACTTTGAAACATGGCACCTCTCTTCCTAGTGGATTGAAAGAAAGAAATCAGAATCTAAAGTTGAAAGTTACTGACTATGCCATTCAAGTATGAATCCAAATGGTGGACTGAGCTGAGGATGAGCCTACAAGATTTTCTTTTCAGCTTTGAAAGGAGGCGACTTCAACACTTGAATGCAGATACTCCTGGCGGTTTCTACTGGAGAAGAGGAAATGGCCTGGATACTTCCAGGCTTTTATTATGGTACTGATATATATTGACTTTAATTTCTTGAGGAACTGAACTAGTGCTTTCTATTCAATATGGAATTCCATCTCATCTTCAGGCACACATGCAGATGCCTGCAGAGACATATGCCTACATACTTATGCACACATATAGTGGTGTTGGGAAAGTGACAACTGGTCTACCTTGATAAAAAAACATGAAAAAGCATATAAAGACAATGATGACAGCTGGATAAAATTTGTGAAGACAGTGCTTCTCATCCAGGGCTTGATTTGGCACCCAGGCAATAATGTATGGAGTCCATTTGGGTTGTCATAACTTGGGGATGTGTTGCTAATGGCATCTAGTGGGTAGAAGTCAAGGATGACATTGAGCATCCGGCGGTGTGCCACAGCTCATCACCACAGTTATCTTGTAAAAGGTGTTATGTCCCAGTTCAGGCACTTGGTTGTTGGCTTTTTTTTTATGTGCAAAAAGAAAAAAATCTGGAGCTGGCCAAAATCTTCATTGTGGTGACTCCTTAGCTTCAAAACTATTTACAAAATACAGCAATCTAAACTCTGTAAAGCAATCCAAGCCTGTGAAAATGAGAATCCCAGATAAGCAATGTAACAAGAATGAGCTCCATTGGGAGAGGAAAAGCCATTTGAATGCCTCTTTGTACTAGGACAAATTCAGACCCAGCCATGAGTGTCACATTGCCAAGCCCACAGTCCAGACACTTCGCTTGATTGTTATTGCTTCCTGGTTCAAAATAAAATCATTTTTGTGACACCAAAACAGATCTCGGCCTGTCTCTGTTGTCTTCCTCTATCATTCTATGTTCTACCATCTATGATTTCATCAATATTTATTCAATTTGTTTCCCCTATTTTGTGACAGACAATTTATTTTCTTTGACACCTGAAACTGACTCATATCCACCATCCACTCTTTTCCATTCAAAGTATTGTATAAGAATACTTTGGGAATTTTAAAATACAACACAATCTGATAAAGGATTGGAAACCCAGAGTGGGGATTTCTTTAAAGTTTTGTGGGTGAGGTAAAGGAAGGGGGGAGAGCACAGGCTGTGTGCATAGGAGTATTGGCCTTTACACTGTTGTCTAACCTCTATAAGTATATGCTCCAAACCACCCCAAGATGCACAGGAAAGCCCCTTTGGTCTAGATCAGTGTTCTTTGGTGCCACAGCATCAGGATCACTGAAAACTTGGTTGAAATACCCATTTTCCCTTCTCCACACCTGCTGTCCCAGTGATCTGACTTCTAACAGGACTTGCAGGAGATTCAGATACTAACAAAAGTTTATGAAGCACTGCCCTGCAGTTTTCTCCCAGTCTCAACCCAAATAAAAAGGTGTTTATGACATGTACAACTTTCCAAGATGAGTCACTTTAGAGGCAGTGTGAAGTAGTGCAGGGATTCTTTACCTGATGGCATTAAAATCAACTTTGCTGTACATGTTAACTCATGAAATCTCATTCTGGAAGACCAGGGATAAGAATTCCAGTGTGGCTCAACAGCCTGTACTTTTTTTGGGGGGCGGGGGGTCTTTTGTTGGGCTCAAACTCAGGGCCTGGATACTGTCCCTGAGTTCTTTGGCTCAAGGCTAGGGTTCTACCTTGAGCCACAAGGCCACTTCCGGACTTCTGGTTGGGAGATAGGAGTCTCAGTCTTTCCTGTCCAGGCTTCCTTCAAACAGCAGTCCTCAGATCTCAGCCTCCTGAGTAGCTAGGATTACAGGTGTGAGCCACCAGTGCCCTGCTCAACCTGCACTTTTTAAACTGGTTAGGAAATAATCAGTATTGGCAACAAATGGTATAGACACAGGACTGGACAACTTCAAGGGTTTGATGGTGAATATTTGACTATTTTAGGGCTTGCAGGCTACACAGGCTGCAACAAATGCTTCAGTCTGTGGGAGAGCAGCCCAGAGAATATGTAAATGAGTAGGCGTGGCTGTGTTTCAATAACTCTTGGCCTACTCGCTATAGTTTGCTGGCCTGTGCTGTGGAAGACACTGGAGAGCCCTCAGGTGTACTCTAGTCTTTTGTCCACCCAGCCCATGCCCCTTCATGCCTCAGTGAGCTCTAAAAGTCCTT